CGAATAATTCCTCCACTCGTAAAAGCTGCTGTCTTCTACTTTGGAGAGAAATAATGCACGATCAACTCGTTCAGTTCGCTTGCAAAGATTGCGATTTCGACGACAACGCCCGCAAACGCACAAATTTCAATCAGAAGCTTTCCGTGGACACCGCGCGCGCTCCCGGGCCATGGGGTTTCCACAATACCGCGAACCCCCCCAGGCCCATCTTCCCCCCTGGCCCAGCGTCGAACAAATCGCGTTGAAGCCGCCGCGAGCGACGGTGAAATTATGGCCGTCACGCTTAGGCCGCGTGGCCCGAAGCTAATCAAAGAAATAATGGCGCAGACCTGGATCGCGCCCTGGGCGAAGGACATTAAACCAAAATTATATTGAAAACGCGCCCGAAGACGCGAACGCGCAATTACAACATTTTGTCTGACACATTGCTGCAACTGGCCATGATCGAGGCGGCCGCCAGGGCCACGGTGGAACCTGCCCCCGACTGGAATCGCCCCGGCGCGTCGGCCGGCGCCCCAGACCAGATGACAAGTTGCCCATCTTCGAAGACATGGCTTCATTGAGGTAACCCAGTGTCCTGTAAGGAAACAAATGCAATTACCAGTTGTTCCATATGAAGATAAGCCCTGAAATATCCGCGCGGTCCTGACCGAGGTCTTCCAAGCTCCAGCTCCCGAGGCATATGTTCCGCACCAGATAACTGTTTCATTCTAGCCGTCCCCAGGAGGTTGAACCTTCGAGGGTGACGCCGCTGGCAGCGGGTGGCGAAGGCGCAGGATGCTGAAACGCAGGAGGAGCGTCAAATCGAAATCTCGTGGGGGGGGGGGAACTAAGCAAAAAAAACGGAAACCGTGCTAGATTCTCCCATCCCTGTGCGGAACCCTATCGGAGTACGTCCTCCCACGCAAGCCGAATTAGAGGAATAGTTGGGCCGATGCTGGCATCTGCGTTGGCATCGATACCCCAATGGTGCGGAGCAAAACGCGACGAAACAAATGTCGACGCACATGTAATCTAAGACCTGTTTGTACTCAGGGTAAACCCCGCCAAGAACGCAGATGCCCGCCGCGTTTCCTATTGTGCGTCGCTTCCTTTGGATCTCCATGTCGCTTCATTCTTCATGCCATGAGACGCCTTTTGTACCAAATCGTCGCACGTGAGAAGTAACTCGATAAGTTTGTGGTGATTGCGCAAGTCGACCAAAGCTTTCCGTTCGTCTTCCCGCTATCGTTCTGTACGTGTGCCCTTGGTATACATAGCAACCGCGAAATCCACACCCACAGTCAGTTGATATGGCGCCTCGTCTGCGACTTTGACTGCGAATGGGTTGTGGAGGCCGTCTTAAAGATGCGTTGTATGCCGAAACAAAAATTGCGAGCAGCGCGTTCTGCTGGTGGCCTGCCTGGTACTGCCCACACAATTCTCCCACCACGCTCTCTGTCACCGTTCCGCCGCCTTGTCTCTGTCTAGGACGCCCCCAATTCAGCAAACAAACATGTTGTTGAAATCTCATGTGCTGTAAATTTTACTCGGCGTGTGGCCCTGCATGGGTGCACGTTTTGCGCAGATAAGCGAACGAGTTCTGGTTCTGACGTGAAATTGTCCAAATTACCAATAACGGCCGTAACCGCCTTCTGCCAGAATAGCAATCCGCCGGCCCCCTTGTGGGGCCACCAGGCTGCGAGGCGCGTGATTCGCAGTTTCCTGTACCAGTTGTAGTTTCTAGTTTCCAGTGTTACAGTTCTGCTTCTTGCTGGTTACTGTAACTAGTTGACTTCTTGCTGGTTACTGTAACTAGTTGATTGACCGCGCGAGGGGGGGGAGGCCCAAACAGGATTTTCCAGCGTCCCCTGGGCGCGTTGTCTGAATTACTGGGGGGGCTCGAAATCGACACCCCTCACGCAGATACGCGAGGTCGGGGTCCAAAAACACAAGGGATTTGTCACATTTCTGAAATTCGGTGCCACCCCTCACGCAGATCCGCGGGGTCAGGGTCCAAAAACACATGGGATTTGCTACATTTCTGAAATTCGGTGCCACCCCTCACGCAGATCCGCGGGGTCAGGGTCCAAAAACACAAGGGATTTGCCACATTTCTGAAATTCGGTGCCACACCTCGGAGATTTGCCACATTTCTGAAATTCGGTGCCACCCCTCACGCAGATCCGCGGGGTCAGGGTCCCAAAACACATGGGATTTGCCACATTTCTGAAATTCGGTGCCACCCCTCACGCAGATCCGCGGGGTCAGGGTCCAAAAACACAAGGAATTTGCCACATTTCCGAAATTCGGTGCCACCCCTCACGCAGATCCGCGGGGTCAGGGTCCAAAAACATAATTGATTTGCAACATTTCTCAAATTCGGTGCCACCCCTCACGCAGATCCGCGGGGTCAGGGTCCAAAAACACAAGGGATTTGCAACATGTCTGAAATTCGGTGCCATCCCTCACGCAGATCCGCGGGGTCAGGGTCCAAAAACACAAGGGATTTGCCACATTTCTGAAATTCGGCGCCACCCCTTCTGCAGATCCGCGGGGTCAGGGTCCAAAAACACGGGGGATTTGCTACATTTCTGAAATTCGGCGCCACCCCTTACGCAGATCCGCGGAGTCAAGGTCCAAAAACACAAGGGATTTGCCACATTTCTGAAATTCGGCGCCACCCCTCCCGCAGATCCGCGGGGTCAGGGTCCAAAAACATCAGAAATTTCCCACATTTCTGAAATTCGGTGCCACCCCTCACGCAGATCCGCCGGGTCAGGGTCCAAAAACACAAAGGATTTGCAACATGTCTGAAATTCGGTACCACCCCTCACGCAGATCCGCGGGGTCAGGGTCCAAAAACACAGGAGATTTGCCACATTTCTGAAATCCGGCGCCACCCCTTACGCAGATCCGCGGGGTCAGGGTCCAAAAACACAGGGGATTTGCCACATTTCTGAAATTCGGCGCCACCCCTTACGCAGATCCGCGGGGTCAGGGTCCAAAAACACAGGGGATTTGCCACATTTCTGAAATTCGAACCCATCACGCACATCCATCGCAAGGCGTGGTAACCCAAACTGCGAGAACTCCCTCGGCCCTTTCATCGCAAGGTGTGGTAACCAAGCCCTTAAACCATACACGTCTTACCAATCGCCAGGTGTGGTAACCCCTCTTGTGATCAGTTGGTTTTGCTGATTGCGACTCGGCTTCGCATGAAGTTTCGATACTGCTTCACGACAGCGCCAAGGCCTCATGACTTAGCTCTTCCATGGCCCATTCTCCGAGAGAGGGGGCCGGCGGCAGGGGGCGAAGCCCTTACGGATAATGAATGAAGCTTGTTGCGAATATCCCGGATCCGACCTTGGGTACCATCTTGGATACGACCGAGCTGCTTCTCTATGTTTCCCATGCGTTCGTTCAGCTCGATATTCATATCGGTCGTCCGTATCTGCATATCCTCCATATCCTTGGTCAGGCTGCCGATCTCGGTTTTCGAGGGGTTAGTTGCAAGTTCCACGTCTTGGCGAGATACTCCGTGCAACTTAATCGGTTCAACATCCTTTTTGATCGGGTCCAGCCTAGCCTTAATCAGCTTGCCAATCGCTTCGAGCATGGTCGTCTGGTGGGCGTGTTCCATATATTGTTGGAAACGTTACTGTACTGCAGAAGCGGTTCCTGCAGCATGTCCAAGAGACTCACTTTTCGGGTTGAACGGGATGTAGTCGCTCATGCCGTCCAAAAGAATACCTAAGGCAATCCTGGATACATTCTTCTCCGGTGAGGTGATGTCCTGGTTCTCTGTTGGTACTCTGGTCACAGCTCTACCACCCGCGGGCTTTAACATGTCCTTCACGGGCGAGCCTGGCTCACGATGTGACAACTATTGAAACCCAACGTGTGCGCAAGAAGAAGTGAGAGGAAACAGAACTGGATATGAGAGATTGTCGTGAATCCGTGAGCCAAGGCTTGAGCCAAGTTTTCCTCGAGCCAAGGTGGGGAGGCGAAGGGGGGTTGAAAATCACCAGGCACCCATCCCTCAAACTTCGGGGAAGCTGGGCGCCTGGCGGTCGCTCCGAACTACAAATGCCGGCAGCCGTTGACACTTTGTCCTTGGCATCTCTGCGCGAATGACAGGCCACGACGACATCCATGGAGACTAGTGGCGCATCTGTCTTCTCCTCCTCATCATCAGCAGAATCGTCGTCTTCCTCCTCCCAGTCCTCATGCTCCTTCTCGCCCCCCCTCCTCTTCCGCCTCATATTCATCATCATCGTCGTCGTCGCCATCGTCGTCGTCGTTGAAGTCATGGTCATCTCCGTCGCCATCGTCATCATCAACAACCACATCATCAACACCATCATCATCACGAGCGACATCACCATCACAATCACTATAACCATCAGCATCATCATCATCATCATCATCATCACAACCACCACCACAATCATCATCGGCATCGTCGTAATCGTCATCCTCATCATCATCCGCATCAGCATCATCATCATAATCAGCATCATCATCATGATCATCATGATGATGATGATCATCATCATCATCATCATCATCACCATCATCATCATGATCATCATCACCATCATCATCATCATCATCCGCATCATCATAACCATCATCAGCATAATCAGCAGCATCATCAGTATCGTCACCATCATCATCATCATCATCATCATCATCATCATCATCATCATCATCATCATTATCATCATCGTCATAGCCACCATCGCCATCGTCAAACTCATCATCAGCATCAGCATCATCAGCATCATCAGCAGCATCATCATCACCACCCTGACCAGTCTCACCTGTCTCATCATCAGAATCATCAGCAGCGGCAGTTGCAGAATAAGCAGCAATAGTATCGTCGCCGTCGTCGTCGTCGCCCACTTCTCCCCGTTCCCTCCCTGGCCGTCATTCGCAAAACACGTCGCGCCCGGACACGAAGCCTCCAGCTTGGTTTGGCATAGGGGGTGGCCGACCTACATGGCGCTGTGGAGCGCCTACTGGCTGAGCTCGGCGCCCACTGAGTCGAGCGCCTCGTCGAGGCAGATGGTGTGTTTTGAGGCCCGCTTGGCCTTCTTGCGGCGCCTGATCTCGTCGGGCTTGCAGAGGTGGCAGAACGGGCAATCGAAACCATTGCCGCAGCCTCCCTTCCCTCGGTCCTGCCCTCCCCTCCTCCCCACCTGAGCCGCCCCTCGTCTCCCATCCCCTCCCCTCCTCTCCCCTCCTCTCCCCCCCGCTCGATCTCTCCCCGCCCGCCATCCTCCAGCCTCTGCGCCCGCCTGCCCTCTTCTTCCCTCCTCCCACATTATCCCCCATTATCCCCCATTATCCCCCTCCCCCTAAATCCCTCTCCCACCCACTCCCCTCCCTTCTTTCCTTCCTTCCCTCCCTCCCTTCCTTGGAATGGCTGCTGGTACTAGCGCTGGTGCTGGTTTTGCTTAGCGGCCACGCACTATCCTCGACGGCACCGATTGCGACCCGCTCTCGAGGATCACCTGGACGAGGATGGTTTCCGTATTGGTTCCCCTACTGATGTGGAGGTGCCTTCAGAGTGCGTTCAGCCGCGACCCACTGCGAACCCTGACATATCAGATGGGATGCAGGTCGTCACCGACGTAGCTGGGATAGAACAGCCGATGGGTGTGAATATATCACGGTCCGATGGTGATAGCAGCGTTGCCCGTCATCCAGCGTCGGAGGACAACGAGATTATCAGCGGATCGTCTCCCTCGTTCGCCATTCCAATGTGTACCAGGGAGCGAGCGGACTTGGGCCGCTTTCAGTGTGCTGTGCCGTGGGCTGCCGATGACAATCGACTGCCTATCGTGTGGGACGTCGGCAGATATCAGCGGCCAGTGGCATGTATGGGAATGGGTCACTCGTGTCGAAGTGGCAGTGCACGCCCATAATCGTAGTCAACACGCTGCCGATGGAGTTCGTCATGCCGAGGGGCCGCACTTGGTCGAGACTGAGATGCCGCCGTCATCACGTGCACATACGCACAATCTGCATGGCTCATCGGTCAGCTGGCGAGCCGCTCTGCACACGGTGTTGCAGAAGCTTGCCAAGTTCAGCCGCTCCATCGGCAAGCTCGAGGTAGACGGAAGCGCCTCATGCAGCTTGACACCGAGGCCCTCGCCGCCAAGTGCCGCAAGGATGGCCGTGATCCGCCACCTCACGTTCGAAGCACCTTACCCCTTTCGGCGGCATCAGCATACAAGGCAAGGTTCTTGTACGTGGCTCGAGTTTCGACTGGCCGTTCACAGAGTACGAGGCACCTCAGGGGACGACCTCCAGCAGCTGGTCGACATCACTTGTGGAGCGGTCGCGTGAGCTACACACTTTGTGGAAATCGCTGCGAAAGCCCAGGGACTGTATCACCACCGGCGAGGCCCGCTCCACCTTGTTCGGATCGCTCGAGCGCGTCGCCCTGCCTGCCGACGACCTGTACACGCCCGACGGCGTCGTGGTCCACCCACGCCAGGTCATTGACGCCAAGGTAGAGGAGTGGCACGCGCTGTGGACCCTAGCTCCCGTCGACATCGACGACCTGGGCGAGTTCTTCGACGAGCTGCATGGTTTGCTCGAGATCTCCGACCTCGAGCCACTCAACCTGGACAGGCTTCGGGGCGCTCTCCGTCGCATGAAGCCGCGGTCAGGGCGAGGCGCGGATCAACTTCGACCCACCGACGTCGAGCGATTGCCCGACCAGGCCCCCGAGAAGCTGCTCCACCTTTTCGCCGCCGCCGAGGCCTGGGGCACACGGCCTTGGCAGTTGCCAGTCGTGGTGGGGCGCATGCTGGGTCACCGGTCTCTTGACCATGGTCACTCGTGTCTAGAGCCAAGCCCACGAGGTTGAACTGCAAGGCTGGTCTGAAAACACCTGCCCAGCGTGGGACGCCACCGTCAAGGGGAAGTCAGCGGTTGTTGAGGCCTTCGTCCATGCTGTCGACGCGGAGGCCCGCACATCGTTGGGCTTCGCGCACGCTCACGCGATGCTCGACTCCAAGTCATCATACGACTGGATGGGGTGGGTCACACTCGGGCGCGCTGCTCTACGACTGGGGTTCCCGCTGGCGATCCCTGCCCATGAGTTGCAGCAGTGCCTGGCCGCCAGAGTGATTATCAGCGATACAAAGGCGTCGCTGGCCTTCCAGCCCTCGAGATCCTTGTGCAGGGCCTGCGGTTTGGCACGAGGTTCGCGCGGTGCCTCATCTTCTTCATCGTGATCCAAAGCACGAAGGAAGCGTCGCCAACCCTGTTGCCACCGCGCCTCTGGATCGACGATCTGTCCGAAGCGGCGGTTGGCATCAAGAAGGTATGGAGAAACCAACAGGTACGGATACTGCTACTCACCAGACCTCTCCAGGGGTGCTTTCTGACCAGAGTTTCGAGGTCAATCCAGCGGTGGCGACGAGGGCCTCCCAAGAGGCCCAACAAGGCGAAAACGAGGGAAGGGTAGCGGTATGGGTGCCTTTTCCTCCTCTGAAAGAAAAGTTCGGATGGAGTTGACAAAGTGCGCCAGAATCACATGTGACACGGTCGTCGCCAATAACCTCACTGTCTCGCCGAAGGGCGTCCTCGCCGGGAACCACCACCAGGATGCACAGCTGATGGCACGAGCAACGCGGAGGGCTGGGCACGCGGTCGCAGCAGCGAGGTCGGGCCCTTGGTTCGGCGCGTCGACGTGGGTGCAAGCAGTCGCTGCGGAAGGACTACTCGCCTCAAGCGGGCGGGCACGTCCGAGGCCATCCAGAGCCACGTGCTGGGCCTCGCCAGGGCATCTAAGCGATGCGCTAAGTTGAAGCGCGCGTCGGGGCTGGCGCAACTAAGCGATACAGGACGTGCGCCAAGTTGGTGCGCGCGTTGGCGTCGGCGACCGGACACCAGATCCACGGGGTATTTAGACAAATTCATTTTCGCCTTCGCGGCTTAACGCCATCTCTACAGCAGAAGGTCGAGGCAACTGTATGTGTATGGACAGAGTGCTACAGTTGAGGGCCGGCCTGACGGATCAAGCTCGCAAGTGACCGAAGGAGCAGCTTGCCTCGTGTTCTCAATATGACAGCACTGCCCTCTTCGGCTCCAGCGTGTGCAGCAATCCTGGACGGTGACTCGCACCAAGCTCGGAGACATCACGCCCCAGCAGCGCTCGCGGTGGATCCACGGGCCGATTTCCGTTGTTCAAGCACTACTTATTGAATGCGACTGGTCTCCTGCGGGCCCGAGGAAGCGTATGCGTTTACACCCGAACGGACAGCAAGGGTGATGGGCGTTCCCTGATGGCGGTGAACATCTGGCGGGCCCCGCAGCGCCGCTCATCACCACTACCATTGTTGACAGGATGTGGGAACGTGCCGCGGCATCGGGCTGGCGAAGCCATGCAGGGCAGCGTCGACTCATCATCTCCTCGGGATCTACTGGCTATCTTGAGGCAAGTGCTGCGAGGAACCGCACTCGAGGAGATGATGCTGACCATTGCAGTTGGCGGCACTTGGACCTTGCAGCGACTTCGACTGCGATCAACTCTGAGCGAGATGTGGGCATGCCGTCAAGACCGACCTCCATAGGACTTGGGAGTGCCAGGGCAACGTTAAGAGCAAAACCTACACCATGAGTGACCACCGCATCCCGGTGGCAAAAGCTGAGGTAGAGGCCGTGCCGTGCTTCTGGCTGCCAAGTATTAATACCAGCGGCGTGGAGAACTGGGGCGGCGCCCCAGTTCTGGACATCCGTTGGATCGCGATGCAGCGTGAACTGGCGTGGCTGCAGTACGGCCTCCGCCCCCCTTGCGATCTACGGCGATGCAAGTGGTGGCCTGAGCCTGAGTCGCCATCTCTGAGGCGAGTCGACATTGCAAGGCGCCGCATATGCGGCGACACCGGCCAGCTGCGCGCCGCAATGCTGGGACCTCTGGCGGGCGAGCGGCAGGCCGTACAGGGCAGAAGACTACGGGCGTTGCTACTCGAGCCGGGGTCCTCCGAGGGCGCTATAAATTTCTACACGGACAACCTTCGCGCGTGCGAGGGCTGGTGGCAGCTGCTGGAACAGCAACCCGCGGGGGCCGATGCAGATCGATGCAAGAGCATGTTCTGTGGTCGCGTGGAGGGGGGAGGGGAGTCCCCTTCCTCCCCAACTTCTCCTCTCTCCCTCTCCTCGGGCAGGCGCCTGCGTCGGCGGCGGCTGGCGGCGGCGGCGGGGACGACGACTTCCTTTAAGTTGCTGGGCCGGCGCCGGCGCCTGCGGCGGCGGGCGGCGGCGGCGGGGAGCGTCGACGAGGACGACGGCGACGACGATGACGACGACGACGACGACGCCCCGCCACCGTGCCTTGGTTTTGGGTCAGTGTCCTACTGGATACCTCTTGGGGTCTCGTCGGAGCGCTCGCTCTCGGGGGGCCTCTGAAGGGAATTTGTGCAGCCACCTGGGCGCCTCTTGGGCGTCTTTTGGGGCCTCTCTGAAGTGGTGGTGGTGGTGGTGGTGGTGGTGGTGGGCTGTGGTGGTGGTGGTTGTGGCGATGGTGGCGGTGGTGTGGTGGTGGTGGTGGTGGTGATGGTGGTTGGTGGTGGTGGGGGTGGTTGTGGCGGTTGTGGCGCCAAGTTGTGGTGGTGGTTGTGATAGTGGAGGTGGTGGTGGTGGTGCGGTGGTTTTCTGGTGGTGGTGGTGGTGGTAGTTGTGGCGGTGGCGGGCTAAGATGGTGGTGGCGTTGGCAGTGGTGGTGTGGTGGCTTTTCGTGGTGGTTGTGGTGGTGGTAGAGGTTGCGGTGGTGGTGGGTTGTGGTGGTGGTGGCGGTTGTGGTGGTGGTGATGGTGGTTTGTTGCGGTGGTGGTGGATGTGGTGGTTGGTGGTAGTGGTGGTGCGGTGGTTTGTGGTGGTGGTGGGTGTGGTGGTGGTCGCGGTGGTGGTGGTTGTGGTGGTGGTGGTGTGGTGGTTTGTTGTGGTGGTGGTGGTTGTGGTGGGGAGTGGTGGTGCGGGTTTGGTGGTGGTGTGGTGGTGGTTTGTGGTGGTGGTGGGTTGTGGTGTTGGTGGTGGTGGTGGTTTGGTGGTTTGGTGGTGGCGTGGTGGTGGTTTGTGGTGGCTGTGGTGGCTTGTGGTGGTGGCGATGGCTTGTGGAGTGGTGCTGGTGGTGGTGGTGGCGGTGGT